GGCCATGGGAGGTGGTCGGCCAACCACCTGAACCCCCAAAACCTGGCCGACCATGACCCCCACTCCCTGTTCCTTCCAGCTGTGACCTCTTTTTCCCTCCAGATCCTGTATCCGAGGGGGTGCCCTTTTAGGGGGAAATTTGAATTCATTTTCCCCCATTTTTCCTCCCCTCCTTTGCCTATATAACCAGCCCCTCAGCTGCATTTTGAGGGGTTACAAAAATTTGGTCTTAAGCCCTTGTACTCAATCTCTCTCTCCCTCTATTCCAACCCTCAAAGCCACCTTGCTCCTACACCATTTCTACACCACCTCATAGCACCACACCTCCATCCTCCATTCCAGCAACTTGAGGCTGCTTTCCAGAGGTGAAGAACTCCCAAACTTGGCTCAAAAGTTGTTGGAGCATTGGTCTACAAGGGTGAGTCACTTTCTTTCATTTTCTAGTCTTTTTTTGCTTTGTATATAAGCCTTAGTTTCTTGCATTTTTGGGCTCCGACCCTAACTGTAAATAGTCATATTTTGAGCCCCTTTTCATATTTTATTAAGGGTCTTTCTCTGTTTGAGGCCTCCTACTATCACTTGCTTCTTTAACTCTCTTTTAGGCCTTATTTTTGCATGGTATTTTAGGCCTATTTGTGAGCTGTTTTGGACTTTTCCATAAACTGTAAAATAGCTTTTTTTGAGCCCCTCTCCAGCATTGTTGAAGGGCTCTCCTCTGTTTGAGGCCTCCTGCTATCACTTACTCTTTTATCTCTCTTTTAGGCCTTTTCTTGCATGATAGTTTGGCCTTATTTGTGATTATTTTCGTGGTTGGATGTAAACTGAAAAGTGCCTTTTTTTGAGCCCCTCTTCAACTTTTTTGAAGGGCTCTTTGCCTTTTAGGGCCAGCTGCTGTCCTTTTGTGTTTAATCTCTCTTTTGGGGCCATTTTTGTATGATAGATTAGCCCTATTTGCATTGATTTTTGGGACTTGTTATAAACTGGAAATATGCATGTTTTGGGACTGTCTTGCATCTGTATTCATTCTTCATGATCAAATAATGCGTGTTTTGTATAGCTATAGGCCAATGCGTATGCCTAGTTTTGTGTTTCGGGGCCACTCCATGCATCGGGTGCCATGTTTCCATGTTTCGGGGTCATTTTGCATCGCATTTCAGTGCTGAAACTTGCATGTTTGTATGCCATATTTCGTGCCTTGCCATGCCTTGTTAGAGTGGCATTTGTGCCTTAGGATCGGTCCTCAGTTTGCGTGCATGCGTGCACGTATTTTGAGAGTCTCATTTTTTATCTCATGGCTACTGATTTGAGTGTGGCCGAGGTCCACTCATGTTGGTGTAAGCCCATTGTGCATTGTGTATGCCATTTCATTTCATAGTATTGCGTATGCTAGGTTGTATGTTAGCGCATTGTGTATGCTATGTTATCTCGTGCATCGTGTATGCCATTTCATAGCGTTGTGCATGCTAGGTTGTATATTAGTTGTATTCATGCATGGCATGCATATTGCATTGTGTTTGGGATAGGAGTTAGCCCGAGCACGGGAAACGAGGGACGTTTCGTACTTCGAGTGACGGAATGTGTCTCAATTTCCGGTCACCGACACTCCGGATTATCCATGATGGAGTTTAGGTCTTGTTGTGTTTATATGTGCATTCATTTCATATTGAGTCGTGCAATTCGACTCCTCAGCCATCATGCATCGATATGCGTGATTGGTGGCACGAGGATCGAGGACTACACTACCTAAAGAGTAGTCAAGCATACATATGTGAAAATACTTTGCCATGCCCCTTTGTGGCTCTCTGTTACAGCAAATCAGAAATCGGCAGCCTTCCGGAGCTTGGTACGCATTCAAGAACAATTGCAAATAGAGGCAAACCGGGGCATCCCAAGGGATTTTCCGACAAAGGCAACCCGAGCATGCATCATTCATCATCCGGAGCAGATTTGAGGCAGTCCCTGGCTTGCATGCCAATTTATTGCTTTCCTAATTTAATTTGTTAATTAATTAGGGTTTTGTACATATTTGGACTGTAATTATTCTGTATATTATTTAATCGGACCCTCTGCGCGAGGCCAATGTTGTAATAAGTGTGCGTGTGTGTGATGTATGTCTTCCAACCCCACGTCTTTCTCCCTTTTATTTACCCGCTTATGTTGGTTAGATTAGGGCATGTTTCAATTAGCATACAGTATGATAGCATGTTTGCATTCATTCATCTGTTTTGCATGCACCGGGCTCGGCGCATCATACTAACTGCATTATATTTTCAATTCCAAGTTGAATACATGTTAGCTGTAGCATTTCATATGCCATGTTTAGAATAGCCGAGCCTGCTATAGTTGCATTTTTGCATGTGTTGCATTAGGCATTTCTGTATAGTTAGGATCATGCATGGATTTCTAATTAGCTTCTGTTTTGGCTTGGAGTACTCGGTAAGTTTTATGCTTTAGCATCCTTCCATGCGTGTGAGTGACTGCCATGAATAGCATGCGTACCATGAGGCTATATGCTTATGTGATATAACTGCCTGAATGCCTGTGGGTGAAGGTTGGGTTATTTGGATTGGAACAATTCGTTGACTGTGAGTTTTAAGCCCACTAGATAGTGGCAAAACCATGTTTTTTAAGCCCACCCGAAGGCGGAAAAATCTGCATTTTAAGCCTACTTACGAGTAGCAAACCACTTTCAAATAAACAAACACAAGATGTTTTGTTCCAATTCAGACGATCCAGTCTATACTTGTATGCTGTGCGCATCACATAGTAAATCTAGGCTAATAACCGGAATAAGAACACACAATAGTTTTCAAAACTAGATATCATGGTTAGTAGAGGTCGATCTTCGGATCGGGCGAGCGGGGTGCTCACGAAGTGACCTTCCCCAATCGTACCCAAGTTCCCGAGCCGAGGCAACTTTGGTGATGACGGACACGTGGCCTTAGGCAAACGAGTCAGGGTTTCCTAAATTTCTCCAAAATAAAATATTTAGGTGGCGACTCTGTATCTGGCAAAGCAGTCCATGTTTGGCACTTCTTTCAAAATCTGTTTTCTCAAAACGATTTGCTGGATTTGGACTCTTTGGTTCAGATTTAGAACCGTGACAATTTGAGAGTCCGAACTTGTAGTGAACCCCATACGGACGGAACGGGACCTCATCCTCCCGGGGCATTCGGGGACGTCTACAAGAGGCCATAAAATTTAGTTTCATATGTAGACCAGAAGTCAGTTCCATGCCAGTAAAATATGAGATGCTAGAAGAAAGCAATAAATTGTAGCAAAGATAAGGTAATGATTAGAATATGTATAAGAACTCTTCTATTCTGGAGGTGGGTGTCAAATAATTGCTAAACCAAACATTTTTTTTAAAAAAAAAAATTTGCAGAGTCGAATTATGGAGAAACTGAGTACTGTCTCAACCAAACCTCCTGTACAGATTATGTAAAGTTCTTGTTTATATTGTGGTTTGACTAGTTTCTCAACCAACAATTCTGAAATAATTTTAGCAACATGGAAGAAAGTATCATGTACCTCCAATATCCTTTCAATTTTTTTGATTCACATTTTTTCAAGTAAAAATATGGAAGCAGAACTTCTTTAACCTGATTGCATACATGAGAGCCAACCTATTAACTAGAGGCAGACCCTTACACGAAACCGGTGACGAAAATATTTCCTCACAAATATCTATAGTGACGAAATTAGCTCTTTAGAGACAAAAAAATTTCGTCATTCAAGACCCAACTTGTTGTAGTGTCCCCACCATTATGGCAAACCGATCAAAGTTTATTCTGTAGCAATACCCCAAGTGTCACCAACATAATGATGAACACATCCACACTTAAACTTGATTTTGGATACCTTTCTTTAAAGCCAAAAAAATAAAGAATAGAATTGGGAAGAGAATAGAGTTTGAAATGTTTTTTGGTAATTTGTTATTGTTAACACATAAACATCATGCAGATTTTCATTATTTATAGTGAAATTCGCACAATTAATTTCATTATTTTAAATAACTTCACATTAATACATGTTTGCACACATAAACTATCTATATTTCAGTTTAAATATCTAAATGTTCACACGTGCATGCACGCGCACACACACACACACACACACACACACACAGACGGGGAGAGAGTGGGTGCGAAGGACAAAATTTGATTAAAAAATGAGAAATCATATTGAAAATGCATATACAAACAGCTCAACAATGATGAGAATAAAAAGGATTTGCAAATAAATATTGTGCCAAAGCTTTTAATGAGTTAACTTTACTGGAGATCCTCCATCACAAAACTCAATAACCCCTCGGCCAACCATATTTCCCTGGAGTATAGAATCACTGTTATCATCTAATCTTTTGACCCCTGCAATATAGAATCAATTGGGTTTCCTTCAAATTTATGTACCAATATAGTATAATTACTCCCATAAGAGCCAATATTGTTATCTGAAAGATAGTTTGAAGCTAAAATAATTAATTAGAATAACAATCCACTCCCATTTCCTTTAAATGCCACCAAATTAATATGTGCATAAACGATTACCACATTTGATAATTGGACAACTGGTTGCATCGTGTTCTTCTCTACAAGTCGTGTTTGTTATATATGGAGTTGTGTTGCTTAGTACTCCAAAGCTGGAACATCATAAATGTTCTCTCATAAAAATCACCTATTAACCTAATCAAACTTTAATGATAATTTTTACAAAAAAGAACTGTGGGAAAGAATGTTTTCTTTGGGGTTGTCTTGATTTTCTTGAATTGTACTTTCCTCCAATCCTTTTTTCTAAAAACTAGGGTTTTTGATAGAGAACCTGCTACTAGTTCAGGAAATTCTTCAAACTCAAACAATGACATTGAATTTGGTTACCATAAGAGAAATTCAGCTTCCAAACATGAAAACAATGCTATAGTAAACAAATTTATTCTAGTTAAGCATAAGCAGAAGTACTACTTGCACAACTAAATAATAAAAATATAATAGATTGCAGGGAATACAATACAAAAAAGAACATCTCTTACAACACTAATAAAAATAGGGTTAAATATATATTAAGATAGAACATGAAAACAACTACCTCAAAAATCCGGTGCAGGAAAGAGATGATTCAGTGGGGGATACGATCTTCCTTCGCTGAATTTCAAACCATATAACACTTCTTCTTTCATTGCCTTTGAAATGTAATTGCCTATAAAGATAGACATGTATGCAAAAATTACCATTTTATAAGAAACATGTAAAATGGAGTTTTTGCACAAGTACTATTGAAAGCTTGTAAACAACACATAGCTTTACAAACTCTCCAAAAAAAAGAACTTATCATATATATCTTTTTTAAAAAAAACCCATATATGTTCAATTTTTGTCAAAAATGAACTAGTCCAAAAAACTTAAAATCATGAAACATACCTGTTAAGCTTTGTAGGGACTGCTCAATCTCCCAGCAAGCCATTACTACTTCCATTGCGTGTACACAAACATGTTGTTGCAGCTGTTCTTTAAAAGAATAGAGCAATAGCACATAATGTGCCTACATTATAAAGAGATAAAAGATTAGAATTAAGACCACATTATAAATAATCATTTTCTTTTGAACATAGGACATGTTTATCTATCAAAATATATCTCAAAGTTGGCGGAATTGCTTCATGTCCATCAAGAACTCATTAAAACTAAGGCATGGAAAGGATAATAATAAATAAAAACCAAAACACAATCAACCCACCCACTTCCAACACCTAATCTCAAATACAAGCTCTAATGTTATGGAAGTTAAAAATAAAGTTGCTCATTGAGAATTCCTTGAAAAGTGGTTTTGCTTTCACCCAAAAAGCCACATAATTTTTTATTTTTTTATTTTTTGTGAAATCTGATCCCACTCGCTTATCTCACCATTGAAAACCATTTCATTTCTAAATTTCCACAACACCCAAAAGATTGCTGGGATAGATAACTAGATTGCTTTGGCTACTAAGTTGATGAACACTTTATACAATAAAACAACACAAAAACACATAAATTTCTCACAAATTCAGCAATTAGGCACAATGTTGATCAAAAACCCACTTCACAAAGGCTAATTAAGAGTAATCAACATTTCAACACAAACTTGTATAAGTAAATAAACAGAGAGGGAGAGAGAGAAAGAGAGAGATTTGAGGGAAAACCTTAAACATATACATAAAGATGAATAAATGATGTTTAGAGACCAAATAAATTCTAACAAAGAGATCAAGTAAAAAAGAACAAATTCTAACGAAGAGATTATAATATAATAATCAGTGACATCAATCTCATTCTTCAAGTAATCCAAAAGCCTAGTGACGAAAAAGAAAATGTAAGAACTAAACAGATATATGAAATTGATAGTTTAGAGATGAAATAGAACAAATGGTGATAGTTTAAGTGATAAAAGGTGAAATTAATTCTAAAAGAAAACAAACTTATCTCAGTGAGGGTTTGACAGAGTTTCACAAGCAGCTTAATCTGCCTTTGTCCAATCAACAACTCTTGACTGTGGTGGTTTCGAAACCCTAGCATTGTAGAGAGAGAGAGAGAGAGAGAGAGAAAGAGAGAGAGAGAGAGAGAGTAAATGAACGAGAAGCAACGACAGTTTCCCAAAACAAGAAAGAGAAGCAGTAGCAAAGAGTTGAAATCATTTGGTGAATCGCTTTTTCGATGAGACAATTCAGAGGAAAGAGAGGAGGAAGTACTGTACCAAGTAAATACCCTTTTTCGATGAGACGATTGAGAGAGACTGAGACTGAGCTCTTTCAAATTTGCTCCATTAGAACCCTCTCTCTTTTCCACATCTTCCCAGTTTCTATGTACCTTTACAATTAGAAGCCAAATAGTTGTGTATAATATATTTTTGGGTTTGGGGTTTGGCGCCAAATTATTTTATTTTGCCGCCTATTTTTATTTCGATCATATTATTCATGACAAAAATTGCATGTCGTGAAAAGTAAAATATTTTTAACGGCTAGCATATGTGCGTCGTGGAAAGTGTACTTTTTAACGGCCGGCTTTTTGTGCGCCGTGAAATGTTCAATATTTTTAATAACTGGTGTACACATGTCGTGTATAGTTGATGTATTAACGATATATCATATGCACGTCATATAAAGTTTTATTATTTACGACTGACATTGCAAGCAATAAAAAAAATCATTGTTATTAGCATTCACGACCTACACAGTAGACACGACGTGGTTGAGAAATTATTTACGACATGCAAAAAAAATAAGTCGTAAAAGTGAGAAACCATAACTTGCATTTATTGTATGTCGTTGATGTGAAGCCGTGAAAATCCAGTTTTGTTGTAGTGTATCCACAACCACAAAACTACTATTTTTCTCCACCACAAATCTGAAATGCCCGCCCTTTCCGTCCCTACTATAGCACCACTAGCCCTCCTCTCACACCACACATTTCATTACACCATTCCATCCCCACCACAGCACCACCACGTTACCGAAAACCCTTACCCCACCATTCAACAACAGAGAGAGAGAGAGAGGCCATACGTTTGTAAGGGAGAAGGGATGGCGATTCCACTGTGAGGGACATTGGAAGAGGCTGAAGAGATGTTGACATTGAGCATACAATGAGGTGCTAGGGTTTTATTTGAAAAAAGTCTCAAAACGATTTGTCCTTACGAATTCAATCTTGTTTTGCCTGCTGAGAGTAATGGAAGAGAAAAAGGCACCAGTTTGGGATATATTATTATATAAAAACAATATATTCAAAAAAATATACAATCATATTAATTAATAGTGTGAATAAAAAATATACATATAATCACACTTAATTTAAAAGTGACATAAAAAATAAATATTATCATACTCAATTAAATTAAGTGTAATTAAAATATCAATCTAATTTTTTTATCATACTTTCAATAAAAGTGAGATATTTTTATTTGTTAAAGTATGATTTTTAACTATTTTTGTAGTAGTGATATAATAACACTTTAATTAGAAGGTGTGATTAAAAAATAGTAATGTATATATAATCACACTTTTAATTAGAAGGTGTGATTAAATATATATATATATATATATATATATAATCACTTTTGAATGAGAAATCTCAGATCTGAAATCTTAAACTTATGTAAACCCTAGGAGAAGAATCGCCGGAAGGAAAAGCTTGAGAGAGAGAGAGAGAGAGAGAGAGAGAGAGAAGAATACGAAATTGAGATTGTAGACGATGGTGCTCACCTTAGTCAACGGTGGTGATGGTGGTGGCAGTGGAGCTTCAAAATCGAGAGAGAGAGAGCTTCGAAATCGAAATCACTTTGAGATTGGATCTGAGATGAAACCGAGCTGAAAAAGGTTGAATCTTAATCTCTGAGACTGAAGGGTTTAGAGAGAGAGAGAGAGAGAGCGATCGAGTGAGTGAGAGATTTGAGGTATCGAGTGAGTGAGTGAGAGATCTGAGATGAAACCGAACTGAAGGTTTCCAGATTCAAAATGAGGGCCTGAAGAGAGAGACAGCGAGAACGGTTCTGATAGCAGAGCTAAAAGAGAGGGAGGAATAACATTGTAACACATGTGAAGGCGTTAAAAAACGACTTCTATTCCTTAAACGGTACCGTTTTAATTAAAACAAAAGGTGACGTTTATAAAACGTCGTTAAAGGTTAGAAATAGTGGTGTTTATAAAAACGTCGCTAAATAAACGCCGTTAAATTCTATATTTCTTGTAGTGGTCGCTCGCATCGCCATCGCCATCGCCGTCTCTCTCTCCGTTTCCTTTCTCTCCTCTCCTTCTCTCTCTTTCTCTCTCTGTTTCAGACAAAAGGAGAACAAAAAAATAAAAATAAATAAATTATCCAAAACAATATCATTTTAGACCGTCGAAGAATTCGCGGGAAAAACTTTCGAATTAGAAAACATTTTTCTTTTTATTATTGAACACACTGCTTTGACGGATCTATCAAATTATGACAACAATAATTCCAACAACAATGATTCATCCCACTAAAAACACCACTACTAATAGCACTAATGCATTAAAAAAGTAAAAAAAAAATATAACTCCAAAATTAAAACATCACATCATTAATGACGAAACCTACTACCACCTAATTAGTGCTCCAAGCATTTTTCTAATTCCAAAGTGCAAGATTGTAATTAAAGTAGTTGTTGGAAATTGATTGTGATGCACACATGACATTTATGAGTATATCTGACTCACGGACGCAACTCTTACAGCCAAACAGCAAAAAAAAACAGAAGTTCTTTAATAAAAATAAAAAATAAAAAATTATATGTATTGTTAATATTTTATTTTATATAATTTGGTTGTTTTAAAATATTAAGGACCCATCAAATAAGAAAAAAGTTCTATAGAATGGAGAAATGCAATTATATTGTGAGAGTGTTGTTCATCCACCACATGTAGGTTTGTTGTTGATAGGTAATACCATTTGTTAATAGTGACATGGTATTATTGTTGTTGATAGGTAATACCATTTGTTAATAGTGATATGGTATTACCGTAACATTGAATTTTTATGCTGTTTGAAAAATAGTTTTTAAAAATAATTTTTGAGTTTTTTTTTTGGCATTGATTGTCTTTGGTGATTTTTCTTTTAAATATAAGCAGATATTTTTTACTTTTTAGATTCACTTAATCTAGATACACTTAAAACGTCAAATATTTATAATTTTTTAGTAAATATAAAAAATATAAAAATAAAGTATATTTTTCACAAATATTTTATTTTTTAAGTGTATCTACAAAAATAACTAAAATATTAAAAAAAATTACTAAAGAATAAAACACAAAAATTATTTTTAAAAATTCAAAACCATATAGAATAAATGTTATTTAGTTGAAAAAAAAATTGTTTTCAAAATTTGTAAAACTTAAGCAAATAAAATAACTCCATTTATAAATAAAAAAAAAATTTGAAGTCGCCACTAATGGCAAAGAATAATGCTATATGCACCAATTGGCTTACTAATTAGTGTGTCAATTAATGATATGAAATAATTTAAGATGTGTTTAGTATTTATAATTTGTATAATGAGTGTAGTCAATAATAATGTCATAACTAGTGTTGGTATATTAGTTAATATATTAATTGGTGCATATAGTACCACCGGATGGCAAATGGCCTCAATATAGTTGGATTCATTCACACTATGGGTTCTACTGCTCCATTGGAAGTCTTGTGTTCAACCATTATTGTGTTTAATATTAATTTGGTTTATTTTTTAAAAAATAGATAGTAAATATATTTTTAAAAATAAATTATCTATTTTTTAAGACAAACATGATAAAATAAAATAAAAATTTATGATTATCAAATAAATTTAATTTTTTTATAAATAATATAAACTAAAATTTTTATAAAATAAATTATTTAAATAATCAAAACGAAATTAAAAGTGAGTCCCACCCGCCCTCAAGGTCTTTCAAATTAAATTTTAATCGTGAGATAAGTCAAATTTATAGTGGATATATACAGTAGCAAGTATGTGAGGTTTACTTTATAAAAATGGGTCTAAAGTAAGCTTACTTTAGAAAAATTTCCCGGCATCAATACATTAGTTTGAATGAGCAAAATGAATTTTTTCAAAAATTAAATGATCTTGGTATACAAACGGGGTGTTTTGTGGCCTTATCTCTCGGAATCCGAGAATGTATCTTAGAACTTATTTTTAGCAATAAAACCCTCATTCAAAAAAAATAAAAATAAAAAACAAAAAGTACGAGGCTAATGACCGAGTATATTAAATTTATTTATTTATTTTTATCAGTAAAGAAAAATTTCATTTAACAGTATGAAATTAAAAGTATAGGAAGATGAGATACATCGAGAGAGATTCGGAAGTATAAAAATACCCCTACTACTGCTACTCGCATCCATACAACCAACCCCTAGCCTCTCAAATTTTTAAATAAAAAAGTTAAGAAGAACTTAACTAGATAATTAAAATACATGAATTCCCACATAATAATCCACAAAGACACCCAAAACAACTAAAGAACTAAACAAGACCCATGGCACTGCTGCAAAACAAATTAAAATACAAGAACTAAACTAAAGACACCCATGTAGCCCGAAAGCATCCACGCCTCTGCCAAGACCACGTCACTGCTGCTACAAACTCTCCATGCCTCACGCCTGCACCTGATTACAACCCCACAAGACCCACTCCTATGCTAACACCCTATGCACACGCCACCTTTGACGCAGCCCACACTACCTACGCCTCTGCTGCAGCCTACACCACCTACGCCTCTGCTGTTGCAGCCTACACCACCTACACCTCTGACGCAGCCCACACGACCACTCCATGCCGAGAAAAACTCTCCGGCCGAGTGAAACTCCAAGCCAACACCGGACAGCAACACCAAGAATTTGACAATGCAGCACCGAGACCCAAGTTCACACCCTCCACCTATGCCTCTTCTTCTTCTTTCACACCCCCAAGATCTTCTTCTTACTTACACCCGCTGCAACTCCAAGACCCACCGCAAAACCAAGACCGAAGTTCTTCTTCTATCTCACCAAGACCCAAGTTCACACCCTCCACATACTCCTCTTCTTCATTCACACCCCCAAGTTCTTCATCTTTCACACACCCGCTGCAACTCCAAGACCCACTACAGAACCAAGATCCAAGTTCTTCTTTCTCACACCCACTGCCTCTCCCTTGCTGCAATGATCTTCTTCTTTCGCACACCCAAGTTTTTCTACTTTCTGACACACACTGCAAATCCAAAACCCGACCAAAACACCTACCAACCGTAGTGATATCACCATACATATGGAAGAAGTTCACCCCT